GCTTCCGGCGCTCAGGACGGGCCGCCTCACAGGTCCGCACGTCAGGACTTCCCAGCGGTGATGGCCATCGAGGCGGAGCGTGTAGGGTTACCGCTCCCCCCGCCACTACCGCCAAAGCCGGTGAGCCGCCTCCGTCAGGGGTTTTACGGCCCGGCTTCCCCGGCGCAGCCGGCCTTCGTTTGTGATTATTGCTCCATTATGCTGGATTATTTGGACAGAATATTTCGGCTCGGTACGCAGATGGCAGCAGCGGCCAATAATCTCGGTGTGTTGGGCGTGTCTCTGATTTCCCCTCAGCAGGCCACCCCCGACCCCCCGCCTCAGGACGGGAGTGATTATTCGGACCGCTGTATTGGCCAGTTGAACACTCTGGTCCACGGTGTAGCTGCCGCAGCTGGCCGTGTGTTGTCCTTGGCCCAGAGTCCTGCATCGGGTCGGGTACCCGACGGGTGACCCGCAAAAAAGGTGATTCGCAGGTGTTATTTTTTCAAACGCTTTTTTCTGGGTTCGGTTCTGGGTAAAACAAAGATGATGCGGGTCGGGTCGCGGGTATTGCATAATAAATATATTAAAATAATAATAATTTAGTTTAATGTTTAAATCCTCAGACCTCTCCCCCGCGGGACCGGGCATAATCATAACCTCTGCAGCGCATTAATCGGCTGCTGTGCACGCCACATTCGAAATGGCTGAGGTGAAGCTCTCTAGCGGAGAATACAGCATTTTCAATAACACTTCCTCAAGAGCGAAATCCAACGTCTGGGAGGCTTTTGGTCTCATCCTAGATGGAGAAAATAACCAACATCCCACGCTTTTTGAGACAAATATGCAACTGCGTGTGTTAATAACTGCACGTTTTCACTGCTCATATACACTGTATGGTTCGGGTCGGGTTGCGGATCTTGTGTCGACGGGTCGGGTCGGGTTGCGGAACTAATTGGCAATATGTGCGGGTAGCGGGGCGGGTTCGGTATTGCACGTCGTGGGTGCGGGGCGGGGAAAAAACGAGGGGAAGCCAATAATACGTCCTTTCTTTTGGGTCGGGGGTGTGGTGGTCAATGTAATATAGTAACCAGATGAGTGATTACAGCACCCGGTATCACTTTACACACATTTGTATCATACAGATGCAGGACTTACACACGCCTGTTATCTAACCGACAGATCCGCACACACTCTCCAGCCGAAACTCTAATAAGCATTCATTCACAAACTAAATCAGGAGACCTTTAACGTTTTACGTCCGATTCGTTCCTTTGTTCCTCTCTGTACACAGCTCCAGTTTGGGCATCGGCCTGTCATCAGATTGTATTTGTTGTTGCTGCTGTAGCGGAAGTTTAGTACAATTATTTTTGATGAAATACTGCAAATCTCCACTCTCCATAATTGCACTTGCTTCAGTTGCTTGCTACTTTCTAACGGCGGTGAGAGTGGTGCAGTGACGCTATCTATCTTCTATCGATTAGATTTATGATTAGAAAATGATAAAAGTAGAGTAGACATGTGGATATTATCCGACTGAACAAAACTTGCATTTATCTAACAGGTTCGTTTTCCACTGACCTTATTTCGAGCTATTTTCCTAAATCCTATTGAGAAATCCCATAGGCTTTTTGTCGAGGGAAACCGAGCGCAGTTTACTTCCGGATTTTAGGATGCGTCACTGCACCATTAAATTGATGCGATTTGATTGGATTGTGAGGCAAGGGAAGCCAGCCGCCTCTGGCTTCCCTTGGCATGGCCCTAACCAATCACAGGTTGGCAGGGGCATCACTTGAGCCTCATCTGTTTGGTCAATCCCTCCATTTTTTTTCACCAAGGGAAGCCAGATTCGGCTGGCCTCCTCTCGCAACATGGGGTGCAATCTACTGTTTCACCATAACATCTAGAGGGGCGCTGTTTGTTTCACTCTTTGTAAAATACTCAATGAGAATGGGGGAGAGACGGGCCGGCAGCAACACACAACAAAGGGAAACAAATCAAAACAAAACAAAGTGTTTTTATTTATTTATTTAAATTATAACTACAATCCGAAAAAACAGGGGAAGCCTGGCTTCCCTTGGCCTCCGGGAGAAAATGCCACTGGCGGGAGCGGGTCTTGAAAATCAGACCCGTGCAGGACTCTGCCCTGGCCACAATGGCAGTGTGGCTGGGACTCACTGCGCTGTCCAGGAAGGACCGCGAGGATCTCGTTGGGGCCCCCATATCCACGGAGGGGCTCTTTGGGTCGATCACGCCGGTCACCCAGCGCTTCCGCCACCTGGAGGAAGAGAGGCTGCAGCTCAGCTACGTTTATAGATTTCTCAGAAGGTGAACGCTCGCATAGTGAGGTCGAGGGCAGTACCCATAGAGTCCAGTAGAGGGCTCTGCCTGTGCTTATATAACTAGGGTTACAATATGTAACCCATCGTTTTCAGCAGTCTAGCAACACAGAGTAAAAGTTAGCAATGTTCCTCCTCTCCAGTTGTAATTTTACACTTGCAGGTCTCCCTTGAAAAAGAGATCATTGATCTCAATGGGATTTTACCTGGATAAATAAAGGTTTTGAATTGAATTGAATTGAGGGGATAATGGATATGAGTGAGCTGCCGTCAGCTGAAGCTCCTCGGCTCTCCTCACACGTTACAGCTCAGACTACATGATGAAACCACAGGCAATGTGTGGTTTACCAAAGCCCCTCATCTGTCTCTGAACAATTTACCCAGCGTGGTTGGGGGCGAGCAAAACACGTAGAAGCATAACTGAACACTGTGCTAATTCAAAGTGTGAAATGGGGAAATGTTTACGCAATTTCTTCAAATTATTTCTGTATTTTGTACTGGTGTAGTCAATACTGACTGCAGAGCCTCCTCTGGCTTTCACATCTCAATTACTCACGCTCACAGGCTGTTACTTCAACTGTAATGCAACAAACTGGGTATCCTTTATAGACTTGAAGGAACTTCTTGCAAACCTCAGTGATTTTAAAACAATACATCTTGTTATTATAGTCAAAAGCATAGGAGGTGATAAAGCTCAGGATAGGGAAGGATAATATTTGACCAACTATTATATTTGTTTTAAACAGAAGATGTTATTATGTTGACAACAGCCGCTCAATGCACCCACTGACAAACAATAACACACAGAACAGGAGCTGAAGGGGGGGGGGGTTGAGTACAGCATTTTTACCAAAACAACAATGCTGGGCTAATGCAGGTTACTACTTGTTCATTGTCATAACACAAACACAACGATTTGAGAGCAGCCAGGCTGTGGAGGCACAGAAGGATCAAGAGCCCTGCCCTTTTGTCTTCAACAGGGCAGATGTGTAAATCCTTTAAAAGGGTTAACCCACAGGCTCCTAGACCTGATGGCATCCCTGGCCGTGTTCTCAGGGTGTGTGCAGTTCAGCTGGCAGAGGTGTTCACAGACATCTTCAACAGGTCCCTGCTGCAGTCTGTAGTCCCCACATGCTTCAAACACTCCACCATCGTTCCTGTCCCCAAAAAGACCAAAATCACCAGCCTCAATGACTACCGCCCAGTAGCACTCACCTCCATCATTATGAAGTGCTTTGAGCGGTTAGTCAAAACCTTCATCACCTCCTCCCTCCCTGACTCTCTGGACCCCCTGCAGTCTGCCTACAGAGCAAACAGGTCCACAGACGACGCCATAGCCCTCACCATCCACACTGCCCTCTCACACCTGGACCAGAGGAACACTTATGTGAGAATGCTGTTCATTGATTACAGTTCAACATTCAATACCAGTGTGCTCTCCAAGCTGGCCATCAAGCTCAGAGACCTCGGGCTCAACAGCGCCCTCTGTGACTGGATCCTGAACTTCCTGACGGGCAGACCCCAGGCAGTGCGGGTGGGAAACATCACATCCTCCACCCTGATCCTCAACACCGGAGCCCCTCAAGGCTGCGTGCTCAGCCCTCTCCTCTACTCCCTGTTCACTCACGACTGCGTGGCCACACACAGCTCCAACACCATTGTGAAGTTTGCTGACGACACGACCGTCATCGGCCAGATCACCGACGGCGACGAGACGGCGTACAGAGAGGAGGTCGGAAACCTGACATCTTGGTGCCAGGATAACAACCTCTATCTCAACGTCGGCAAAACCAAGGAGCTGATTGTGGATTACAGGAAGCAGCAGAGAGAGGGTCGCGCCCCCATCGCCATCAATGGGACTACGGTGGAGAGTTAACAGCTTCAGGTTCCTCGGTGTCCACATGAGGAGGTTCAACATGGACTCCAGGATACTCTTCAACTTCTACAGGTGCACCATAGAGAGGATCCTGACCTTCTACAGGTGCACCATAGAGAGGATCCTGACCTTCTACAGGTGTACCATAGAGAGGATCCTGACCTTCTACAGGTGCACCATAGAGAGGATCCTGACCTTCTACAGGTGCACCATAGAGAGGATCCTGACCTTCTACAGGTGCACCATAGAGAGGATCCTGAACTTCTACAGGTGTACCATAGAGAGGATCCTGACCTTCTACAGGTGCACCATAGAGAGGATCCTGACCTTCTACAGGTGCACCATAGAGAGGATCCTGACCTTCTACAGGTGCACCATAGAGAGGATCCTGACCTTCTACAGGTGCACCATAGAGAGCATCCTGACCTTCTACAGGTGCACCATAGAGAGGATCCTGACCTTCTACAGGTGCACCATAGAGAGCATCCTGACCTTCTACAGGTGCACCATAGAGAGGATCCTGACCTTCTACAGGTGCACCATAGAGAGGATCCTGACCTTCTACAGGTGCACCATAGAGAGGATCCTGACCTTCTACAGGTGCTCCATAGAGAGCATCCTGACTGGCTGCATCACGGCCTGGTACGGCAGCTGCACCGCCCTCAATCGTAAGGCTTTACAGAGGGTGGTGAAAACTGCACAGAACATCACCAGGACGGAGCTGCCATCCATGGAGGACCTTTATTCCCAGCGGCTCAGGAAGAAAGCCCTCAGGATTATAAAAGACCCCATCACCCCAGCCACACACTGTTCTGTCTGCTGCCGTCTGGCAGGCGTTACCGCAGCATCCGGACTAAAACCATCAGACTCAGGGACAGTTTCCTCCGATAGGCAATAAGACTGGTAAACACCTGAACTGTTGAAACAACATCCCTAATATTCATCTGGCTGCTACTTAAAAATTATTTAAAAATTATGTATCTATTTACCTATATATCCTATTTCAATTACTTGCATATAGACTCTTATTGCTCTATTTCACTTTTTTAAAACTATTTTTCTTTTTGTATTACTATTTATTATTTACTTGCACTATATGTTTCTGTTTATCTGTGTTTTATGTTGCACTGTTGGAGAAGCCTGTGACACAAGATTTTAATCGGCAAAACTACACCGTAGCTATGTTCGTATGACAAATAAAGAACCTTGAACCTTGAACAACACATTACTTGAATTCAGAATTAACTAACTAGATTAATACACAAAGTCTATGACAACAAACAAACAACAAACAAACAATCTAAATCTGTGAAAGTATCTGTGGATTTACTAAATACTGTTATGACCTACAAGTACAACTATGCTAATACAGAGCCACTGACCTTGGCTCATACTTAACTCTGCTAGCTGTAGTTGCTGGAGATTATGTAATTAGTGTTAGCCTGAGACGTTAAGGGCATATCGGTGTGCAAAATAGTAATGGTCAATCATTTAGGGACAACTTAGCCGACCTGGTTTTAAGATTCAGATCACCGTTATGAATCCCCAAATTCAGTCTTTACTCTGTTGTTATTTTACAATTACACACATAGGCCCGAAATACACTCACATGCAAAAACAGGAACTATAGACATGCAATCATGAAGAGGTGGCAGAGTGAAAGCGGCTAGTGTTATGGAGCCAGGGAGAAGTTGGGGTTTGGTGCCTTGCTCAAGGACACCTCGGCAGTGCGGCAGGAAGCAAACTTGCAACCGTATTTGTGCCAAAATCTGTATTTTTGGGCCGATCGGGAGCTGCTTTTTAAAGGGGCTCTACTCTGCTCATTTTCAGGGTCATATCAGTATTTAGTTTCTCTACTGTGACATGTCTCCGTGCTTTAATGTTCAAAAAGCTCTTTATTTGTATCATACTGCCTGTGCTGCAGCACCTCTTTTCACCCTCTGTCTGAAACCAGAGCCCAGTCACGTACAATGTCTTGGAGCGCTAGCCAATAGAAGTGCAAATGTTATGTAGTATCTATTTTACGGAAGTAAACAAAGGAGTCCAATGGAGGCATTTCAGGCAGGGTGGGGTAGAGGAACTCCCTCTGAAAGGAACACAGGGATGTTAGCCGTTGCAGAGCATTTACATGCACACAAACCTAACTCACTACGGGAAAGGGAAAGGGAAAACCCCCAACAAGGCATAGTAGGGCCTCTTTAAAATTCTAGAAAAGTACTGTGAATAATGAGAGTAACAGAGTTCTATTCGCTCTGGCCCTAAAGACTGAATTGACTAATAGTTTCTATACGTATATTTCTGTCCCCTCTACTGCAGCAGGAAATGAAATACCTGGTACCAAAAACGGTTAATAGGGTTAATAGCAGAATAGAAATAGTAATAGTGAAGTTTCTATAGCCGACAGTGTGCCTTTTCCTCCTTTCTTTAGTTGTTACTTTCAGCAGGCAGCTAAATGAATGTGCGGTGGGTAAATAGTGTTAGAGAACACTGTGCAGTGTGCAGGCATCATGAAAAGCCAGAGAGAGCCTGCAGCGCTCCTGAAGGGGGGGAGGGGTGGGAGATCTACTGTTTTCAGATGATTGGCCCGTGGGCCACAGGGAGGAGAGCCAGAACACTGCTTCAGCAAGCTCTGCCTATTCAGAAGCCATGAGTCAGCAGAAAGCAGCGTACTCTCTGGCTGCTGACACGCACATAAACACACACACACACACACACACACACACACACACACACACACACACACACACACACACACACACGGCTCAGGGCTGTGAGACAGACAGACTGCACGCTCAGCTGTCTGTGTTGGGGCTTATGTACTAAGGCAGTGAAATTAATCACAATGGACAGACCTGCCTGCAACCATATGAGAAGCTCCTTTCTATCTATATATGCTTTTTAATATCCATCTGTACATATATGTTTGTGTAGTCAGATAACCTTATACACATATCTTACAGTTTATCACAATTCACAACAATAACCCTGCAAAATGCCCTCTTGTGTCTTTCTGCTGTTGAAATATATGTGAGGTGTTCAGGTTACCATAATATTGGTACATTTAAAGAGAATTGACTATGCATTTCCAACACACTAATACTGTAGGTGGACCACATTACATTATTAATGACAATTAATGCAGTTATGATAATTAATTATGCATCTATTATTTGTTAATAATACAAAATAATTATGACTGTCTTTTTTTAATTGAATTGTTTATTTGTGGATTACATTTTTATTAATTATTAATAATATACAGTCCAGGAAGAGGCAGAAAACATACTGGGCTTATTTCCGACTTCACAAAACGTATATACGACTCCACAAAACTGCACTTCAAAATCATTATTTTATTTTAATATTTTCATTTGTGTTAATTATTTAAATATTAAATAACATTTCCATAATTGTTTTTATTTGAACAAATATTTTGTAGTATTCATAAAGGTATAATAAAAGAAGAAAAAGGCAGAACTTGACACTTTAAATACTTGTTTTTAAATACCATTTAATTGAATTGTTATTGGGATATTTAACAAGGTTATTGCTTATTGCTTATTTCCCACATGTTATGCAGACCTAATACTTTGTTCCCACAGCTTCTTACCCTCTATTCTGTTTGTGCAGGGTGCTAGAGGGAGTGATGTCGGCAGACGAGGAGCGGGATGGAGAGGCGGCAGCGCCCCTGTACGTGTATGAATCCAAGGTCCACTGTGCCAACGTGCTGTTGAGCCTGGAGGAGCAGCGGCGGCAGGGCATCCTGTGTGATGTCACGGTGCTGGTGGAGGGCCGGGAGGTCCGCGCTCACAGGGCCGTGCTCGCCGCCAGCAGCCGCTACTTCCTGCAGGCGCTGCTGGGGCACAATGGGACAGGAGAGGTGGAGCCCATCATTAACCTACCAGACAAGGTAAAGGGCCACAAAGACAACACAGAACACACAGGCAGTTCCACGGGGATGAGTCTGAGGTCATTTTGAAGAGAAATGGTAATGGGAAACTCAAACTTTGAAAATAACATTTTGTAACACAGGGTCATTAGATGTGGGCTGTCTTTAGGGTACTCATAATACACCTTTTCCTCTTTGCCCTATCAGCACATCTCCAAGGAACAACAGTTGAATATGTTCCCTGGGCAGCATTGGACATTCTGTAGGGACTTGGCTTGGGAATAAGTGCCAAATAGAGAGGTGCCTTTTTCCTTCCTGGGCACAAGGCAAGACACTAAACCAGCAACTTACTGCATTATATAACACAGAAGGTAAAATAATCAAAGTTGTAATACAATGGAAAAGAGAACTGGACCCAGTACAGATCCTTGGGGCACCCCACAGCTAACATCTTTGGAGCTGATCTGGCGTCATCAATGCAAAAACGCTAGTCTTTTAAGTAGGGAGAGAATCATTGTAGAGCATTGCCACTGATACCCACCCATGTCTCTGCAGGGTCCTAGAGGATATTATGGTCAGTGGTATCAAATTCCCCACTTAAAACAGTAGAACAAGAATGGATTTGACTAGAATCAGCTAACATAAATACAATTTAAGACACTTAAGAGTTTCAGTATTTTCTAGAAATCTAGAGTCAAACTTTACTGTGCGCTTTGTCCATGAGTGACAATTAAAATGTCCAACTCTCCATTTCTATTTCCATAAGGTAAGGTATGTGTTCAGAATAGTCTTACAAGCCTGGTGTCACAGTGAAGGCTGAGGGGGTGCACATTTTCTATAGTTCTCTCCTCAAATGCCTCATATGTAAGGCATGACAGAGTTTCCGTATGCCGGTAATTACCGGACTATAACCGGTCAAATGTGCTGAAGACCGGCAAATCTAAATCTCTCCGGTCAAAAATAATTTCCCCTTAGCGCAATACCGCATCACTTATGTGACAGACAAGAAGAGTCAATACGCTACATGCACAGTCACTTCCTTTCTAATGTCTGACATTTAATGTGGAGAAAGAGATTTATCCTCCTGAGGGGGACATTTTGACCCCTCTTGTAAACAAATGCTTAATGCTGCATAATGCTGCAGTATATTTTTGCCGACAAACCCCTGTTGCCAAGCAACGCTTATAGGTGTCCTTTCATACTCAGGCAGTCATATCATTAGCTAGAACTAGCTAGATCTGATCGATATGGACATAAATGTGAGTGAAGTATAATCGGACGTGAGAGAGAGATCAGAGAGCAGATCAGCTGCTGCTGTCGATGGAGACAGCAGCTCTGTATGATCGCAGCTCCGCCTGCTTTGACGGACCGGTGGGCGGAGCGAAACACACACTTCAAGTTAGACCTAACACACTTAGCTAGTTTATCTACCTCTGGAACATGGCAAATACAGTCGCTGTTGTATCTGTGTCTGTATCATGTTGTTGTGAGTGTGGACGGAGCAGATACAACGTTAGCTTAGCCTGATCGATCCGATCTCCATTCAGAAAACACGGATTTTAGGTTTTTCGCCTGCCGTCTTGTCTGCACACTTGTCAAAGCATTAATTCATGGTTTTTACTAACTGTTATCAGTATGTTGTTACTTCAGCATAATTCTGAAACTAAATCATGGTAAACTATGTTCATTTTGTTGTAGTTGGTTTCTACCACAGTATAGAGGGAGGGAAAGATTATTATTAGTGTGAATGCTGTTTACAGCATTCCACTATAGTTCTTCAAATCTTTATTCTTCTTATTTCAACCAATACTTTGCTGTCGAATAACTTCAGCATACTTTCAGCTACAGAAACCATTCAAATATCAGACTATTCAGCCTTTTCAGCACATGATGGGAAACTTTCAACTTCTTCAAAATATGTTATACTTTTTGAAATATTCAGCTTTTTAAACTCTTTTTTTAACATGGAACTCAATGGGAGGAACCTTCAAATCCTCTTTTAACTACACCGTGCGCCAAATGCTACTCCTTCCACATCACATACTTAGGTCAACAAAGTCATTGCAATGCATTTGAGCTGTAACAATTTTGATTCAAATCATTTCACTTTTCTGCATTTCTCCGCTAAGTTCAGCAACGCACTTACTTGGTTTTTGTAGCTAAAAGCAGCTACAGAGACCATTCAGCTAATAACATATTCAGCTTTTTCTGCATTTTCAGCTAAATTCAGCCACAAATGTTCACAGTTACAGCATTCGCACGCATTTTCTGCAGGAAATGCATTTTCTAGTTATTATTTATTATTCCCGTGTTATTATCCAAAGTTACACTTTTGAATAATGTAGTTAATCTACTATAATTAGTTTGTTTAATATAGAGTCGTTATGAATTTGTTTTAAAGCTCAATAAATAACAAAGAAGACCTTTGACCGGCACTTTTCTCGGCAACAAAAAAATTCTAACGAAAACTCTGAGGCATGAATATAATGTGGTTGTGGTTACTTTGCTGCTGTTTCCATTCAGCACCGCGGCTGATCAGGGAACAGTTCCCTGTGCCCCAGATCTGTCATATTGATTAATTTGTCTGTGTGACTCCACCTTACAGTGATTACTCACACAGGCCTGTTCCACTACAACTTCCCCCCCCGTATGTCTCTCAGCATGGCTTTATTTACCACGTCCTGTCTGCTGTCCGCTCACTTCTCTACATCATTTCTTTTCAGGATTGAGGATGCTGCTGTTCTCTGTCCGGAGGGAATTGTATGTTTGTTAGATGAGATGGTCTATCATCTGAATCTAGCCTCCTAATTATGATCCCATATCAAGATTGGAGTGTTTAACTTTAAAAATCAAAATGTAGGTTCAATGTTTGTATTAGCTGAACCAAACATAACATGGTAGTGAAAGCAGTGCTCTATTTATTTAAATGTAGGAGAGCAATACAAATATGTTGTCACTTATACAAAGGAATACAAATGATAAATAAACATGATCTCAATATTGATCAATATAATGGTGATTATCATTGTTGACATAATCATGCAGGATAATATATATTCATTCCGTACACATGTAGTTGCATTTCACTTTTCTCTTGCAAGATTGAAAGTTAATGGTCATTAGTAATGACTCTTTGAAAAAGGTGTGTATATATTGTCATATTGTAAGATGTAAATTAATTCAAGTTAGATACAAGCTAGATTTAGGCCTGAGCATTATGACCAGCCCTTGATGTCCTAACAATATGTGAATGTGAAGTTCAGATACTTTGAAATTATTGAGGCTTGAATACAAGGTCATATTTGAAAATGTAAAATGTGTCTCATTCTCTTTTTCAAAAGTGTAGGCTAAGTTGTCTGCGAGTCTAGCATTGGACATGTGTGCTACAGTATGATTGGGGTATTACTAGAGTTTTTGAGGGTTCACACATACCTTCAAAACTCAGTATTCAGATTAAGTACTTACTGGTCAGTCCCAAAAGTTTGTATCTGTAATCTGGATAACTTTCCTCCCAGAGGCATGCGTTAATTCTATCAAACAAACCCGTTCCATCAACCAATAAGGTTAGCCCGTAAAATTAACCGTCTGGTGATTTGCGGCCTGGGAAGGAGTCAAACTTGAGGCCTGAATTAAAATCTCAGTCTGCGATGGCCAAGTCTACACAGGACGCACAGCGTAGCAGGACTTTAGCACTGGCACTGGTTACGATGTTTACACTACTGCGCAATGCTTGTGCTGGATATAAATTAACATTGACTCACTTGAAATTGTATATTTAAGGCACTGACATCTCCACCCTTGTCTCCTCTGTAGGTGACTGCTAAAGGTTTCGCTCCACTGCTTCAGTTTGCCTACACAGCCAAGCTGGTTATAAGTCGGGAAAACATCCATGAGGTTATCCTGTGCGCTGACTTCCTGGGTGTTCACAATTTGGAGGACTCCTGCTTTCGGTTCCTTCAAGCCCAGCTACAGAATGACAGCCAACACGCCAGCAATGGCAAGGTGGAATACGATGAAGACATCACGGCGGACGATGCAGTTTTTTCTGAAGCGATATGCTCGGATGACTCTTCAGAGAACACGCAGCAGACCAATCACGTAGCAAGCACTGCGTCCCTTCCCACTGACCTTTCTCAATGTCCTAAATACAGGAACTATCAGTACCAGATCAGTGATAACAAGCACAACGGAGAAGACCATCATGGCAGTGATTACTCCAACCATACCTCAGTAAGTCCTTTGAGCTCACAGCTCAGGGACAACAGCACTGCTTCTCAAACTCTTCTCACCCCCTCCAGGATCAAAGAAGAACCATTTGGGTTTGAGGGAGAAGGGGATGAAAGGAGCGGTAGCAACCCAGAGTTGTGTACCGAGGAGGTGCTGGAGATGGAGCTGGAGGTGGAAGGGGATCCAGTAGCAGCTGAGCACTCCCCGGGCAGAGGCTCACCTTCTTCCTGTTTGCGCTCCTACCTCCAGAGAGGCGGCTTAGATCTCAGCGGCGTGCCCAGCACCACCATCCAGCAGCTGCTCACCAATAGACTGACCCTCAACCACTACAAGGATCTGGTCAAGGACAGGCAGAGGGATAAGAGGGATTATATGGGTCGAGGGGACCTTAAGAATGCAGATGGCATTGACAAGAACATGGATAGACCAGTCTCCAAAGCCTCCTCCTCACAACACGAGGGGGAGCTGGACAGAGCCAGCGTCATTTTCTCTTCAGCAGCTGGAGAGCAACAGATGTTGGCCAATTCCTACATGGACGATCATTTCAGAGAAAAGGTCTCGACCCTGATGCAGGTAGAAGCTCCTTCTTCTGGTCGGTCCCGCCTCCCCTCCAGCTGCCCTGTTCCCATCAATACATCAGCGCACTCCCCCCTCCCCTCTGAGCCCCACACCCAAACGTCCAGCTCCCGGTCCTCCTTCTCGTACCCAGAGGACGCCGGCAGCGGTAGCTCACCTTTCAACCTCCCCCAGTTTGACTTCTCCACATCCCCACACTCAGGCTCCACATCTGGACTGTCTCTCTCGCAGAGGAACCCCCACAGCGGAGAGCTGCTCTTCTCTCAGGGTTGCACCAACATCAAAAGTGAACAGGGATTTGGTGCCAGTGGTGACAACTCCAGCGACGAGTCAGGCTCTTTCTCAGAGGGAGACAGTGAGAGTGGCGTCTCCAGAGTCTCCGCCCCTGAGGTTCGTATATCCTTTTTACTTTATCACCCAAGATTCTACTTTTGTTAGTGTTAAAGGTCTCATGTCATGGCCATTTCTACTGATCATAATTCCATTGTTGAGGTCTACTAGAATAGATTTATATTGTTCAATGTTCCAAACTCACATTGGTTTCTCATACAGCATCTCTGTATACTATGTGTATTCACTCTCTGTCCTACACGGCTTGTTGGAGCTCCTTCCCCCCCCTCCCCGTGAGCCCAGTGTGCTCTGATTGGTCAGCTCGCCCACTCTGTTCTGATGAGTCCACCACCGTTACAGCGGAACATCAGTGATTATGTGTTACAATGGCGTTTGTTAGCAACCAGGAAATGACACCAGTAATGACAAACAGATGAGAATGCTGCGTGGGGTCTGGGTGCCGTGTTGGCGGGACGCTGCAGGGCTCGCTGTTACGAGGAACGAATGGACGCGTGAAGGGGGGGATGTTGAGGGGGCTGCAGCACCCCCATCTGCAAGGCTCCACTAGCACCCTCAAACCCCCCCCACCCTAACGCGGCGCACCTACAGTGTAAGCGCGCCACAGTTTTCGCCGCTGCGAGGCTCCACTAGCATCAGTTATTCAGCAGTTCTTTAACCTGTTAACAACATCTTGCAAGAAACAGCGTCTGAGGGCTTCTTAACATTTAACAAACTATGAATGTGTCATACCAACTTAACGGGAAGAAACTCAGCTACCTGACGATGTGAACCATTTTTACCGAAACAAAACACAAGTCTAATGCCGAGCCTCTGAATTAGCACTAAATTAAAGAATGCTAACGCACTTAGCACATAACTCACGGTAGAAATATTGTATACTTCATCGGATCTGCACAAACAAGATACCATATGAAAGCTGCGATTCCACAGGTTCCAATGGTATACGTATCATCACTGAGCGACCAAAACTTGCGGCAGCGAAAGCCAGCAAAGACAACACACAACTCCACTTTACGGAGCCAAAGCGGCAAATAGGTCTTACCTTTGCTGTTTTCTGATCAAAAGTTGTGTTCAATGGCATTAAACACATAAAGACGCTGCTGAAGGTTAATCCAATGTGTCTGTGTCACTTTGAAATGATTACTGATAATCCATCATCATATTTATGATCAATAAGCCTAGTTTTCAGTTTTCAGAGCGTAACACAGCTTTCGGTTTGGGCAAACTGCGTGTGCATCACTCTCACTCCTCAATGGTAACGTGTAGGTGGATTTAGGAACTTCGCCTCGATTCTATTGGCTCTAACGGTTAAAAAGAGGTGTCAATCACCAAAATCGAAAATGTTGCTAAACCTCTCTAAAAAGGTCAAACGTCACTTGTTTTGCATCAATCTTGATACAGGGTACTTATATGTTATAGTTTGGATTCCTAAAGCTTTTAGTCTACCATCCCATCATTCAAAGGTGGTTTTCACTATAAGTAATGTGGGTTTATTTGGACGGAAACTATATAATTTACAGTTTTTTACCATGTTCAATCTGAATTTACTTTAAAATCAAAACATCTATATTGATTCTGACTCTTCTACATCCAACTCACAGGTTCATCATTGCTTTGAGAAAAAAGATTATTAATGTATCCTTTTAGAAGTGGAGTTATGGTCATTTGTTCTGGGAATGTCATTTTCGAGCCTGAGACCTGAAAACAGGCTCAGGGCTTAACAGGTTAAATGTAGCTTATATTAGCTTTAAAAAGAAACTGCTATAGTGGATATGAGTTTATCAGATGCAGTTCTCCCAAAATGTAAATACCTACATTTCCAAAAAAACGCCTCAGTTATACTCACAGTTTAACACTTTAAGGTAACAATATATGGTGTTCACTTAAAGTTATGATGGGAACATGGATTTTAAAGATAACTGGATTCAGGCTCAGTGGCATGAAGCCACAAAGGCCCTTGAGTTAAAAAATACCCAGATCATCATGAGGCCCAGTGATTTCAACAAGGACTATTCAAGTTTTTAGACTAGGTAGTTGATTTAGCTTAGTTGATAAAAAAACAGTTTTAAAGACTTCTCTTTCCCGATGTAAGTCAATGGGTGAAAGTATTTTTGGGCCCAATGATGTCACAGACTGACTTGAAGTTGTAGTGCCACCGATTGGCCACTATGGAAATATACTTCAACACCCTGTTCACTTCCTCTGTTAAACTGTTTTTATGTTAAACAGATAACATACAAAATGACAGGTGATGACATTTCTAACATATTCTGAGATTTTTTTTTTACTGATGTTGTCAAAAGCTTGCACCTGTACTATAATGGCAAGGTTTCCAAATCAATATTATATTATGTTACTTAAAGGTGGGGTAGGTAAGTTTGAGAAACCGGCTCGAGATACACTTTCTGTTATATTCCATGGAATGCTCTTAACATCCCGATAGCAATGAATATCTGAAGTGCTTTGACAACAAATCCATTAAAAAAAGTCATCTGTGGAAGCAGTGGCGCTGTAAAAAGCACGACCAATCATCTGAGCCGGCCCGGCTAAAGTAACTGGATGGCCTACCTTCCTGTCAGCCTTCCATCTGTGCACAAACTTATCTCGTGCCCTCATTGGTCATGTGCGCGTTCGTGTGTGTTGGAGGAGGGGCTCTGGAAGGAAGTGGCAGTATTTCAAATTCTAGCGCACTCGAGCTGGTTTCTCCAAAATTACATACCCCACCTTTAAGTGTCAAACACCTCTATGCAATAACTTCCTCTCATGAAGCCCCATTTTAGCAGTGCATACTCCTGTGCTAGTAGTTTCAAGCATATTCTCCGTGTGATTTACAGCTGGGACTATTCTTAGACATTTTTCTCTCAGGAGAAATTACACAAACACTTCCAACACATACTCCTTTGAGTCAAAAGTTGCCATAGTGATTTCTTGGAACATGCATTATATGATAAGACACTCACACATACATACACCACAGGGTTCTAACTATAGACGTGAGTGGTTGTGGCCTGGGCTCTGGGTGAGTCAGTGAAAACGATCTATTCTGAACACACTGGAGGTGAGCCGTTTGGATACATCCTACAGGGATCAGACAGACAGATTAACTACATTTATGTGTACAAGCCTTTTCTAATGTTCTGATGTCTTCAACAAACCCTATCCACTGTTGGTGTTCATGGTGTGACGGTTGCTCAAGAAGCAGGTTGGCTTCTGTCAGCCTCCTTGTATTAGAACGTCAAGGAGTTAGATTACTATGCACCAAATACAACCAGGCATAAAGACCTACATATCTTCACTATGTTTGAACTTTTGGTCATCATGTGATGGAATCCAACTATTGATGGATTTCACAACGTGTCCTATTGCAAGATGGTCTCTAGTTGATCGTACAGGCTGAAACCTTAACACCTTTTTAAACCCAAACAATTTTTAAAACTATGAACTTTCCAACATTTATGAGGTGAGGATGTATTGCAAGAATGTTGTATTAGAATGGATTGGGTTTAGCTCAATGTGCCTAGTATACTGCCACTAAGAGCATGGACATAGGAAATTACCAATGATGACACTATCAATCAGGAAACTAGGCACACAACTGTACCATTAGAAATGTGACCCGAATATTTGCGGAAAAATGTGCAGTAGAGGATATTTTGTAGACGTGTGTGTGTGTGTATGTGTGTGTATGTATATGTGTGTGTACCCACACCATATATTACTCCTGCGTCTCCATGTGTGTGGGGTCTGTCCCACTTTTTTGCCCCTGACCTACTTATCTTGGAGCACACACACACACACACACACACACACACACACACACACACACACACACACACACACACACACACACACACACACACACACACACACACACACACACACACACACACACACACACACACACACACACACACACACACACACACACACACACACACACACACACACACACACCAAGGGTGCCCTGTAGGCAGGTGGAAGGTGCCCCTTTCCACCATCTGTTACTCCTGACCCCAGATCTGCCCTCTCCAATTAGGCCAATTGTTTTTTTTCCTCATAATTTAACTATTTAGGGTGTTATTCTTCAATATTTCTAATAAAATATTTTACTGATCCTTTAACATCTACCTGAGTAATTAGATAGGAAAACTACAATTTAAATACAAATGACAGATTCCTAATTCAGCCTGTATTTAAATGAACTTGCTGAGCAGAGACTGAATACCTGCTCCATGCAGATGATCTTATTATGTTATCCTCAACCAGAGACAACTTCTTTCGACACATCTTAAATCATTTAAATTCAAAAGACACACCTCTGTTCAAAGCACTGGAAACCAAACAGATTGGTGCTCTTCCTGGGGTCTTGGTGTATATCTGGGAAGTAAAGACAGAGTTAATGAAAGTTAGCAACTCAAGGGTTCCATTACTAAATTAAATGCGATTTTTCAATTACATTTCTGAATATTGGAGAAAATGAGATCTTTGGCAAATGCAGGTTTGTGATACATAGTTCTTTTCAGCAGGATAATCTCCACATATTAACAACACTTTATAATGTTGTGTCAATGCATCGACATAAGTAAGAAGCTTAGGTTATAAACAAATTACATCACCTCATGACTTCATGTCACCACCGCTAAGCTAAAGGTGGCTAATGTTCAGAGTGAGGATGTTTAATAGTCTCATTTAGTCAATTGTTAGAAACAAATGTTATGACCCAGAAAAAAGCTTCAGACATTCACTAGTGGAGTATTTACTGACATATTTTATGTCGTAGAACAAAATGTGCAAGTCTCTTCAGCTTGTGTTAACCACAGGCCTAAGTTTGGTGTTCCAACCAAAAAGATATTAAAAAAGCGTTGACTTAGAGACAATGGAATAGGAAGTTGTAAAGGCAAACTCATTTCTGGGTTTTAGGACTCATTCCTTCATCACTCTATTAAATAGTTCAAAAGAATGGAAGTGTATTCCATTGTACAGCAGAGAGAAAGAGAGAGATTGTTGAGGGGATTTACGACCATCGAAGGCTCATTTTGTCATTCCAACCTTGTTATGTGTCTGCTGAGAGTCCCAGAGCTATATATAGATGTCTATATAGTACAGGACAGGCTGCACCTAGACACACACACACACTTCTGCTGTCAGACTGTTCTGATGAATCACATTGAGATGTTACATGGTGCAAACACAGACTATTCATTTATCTACACTTTAAATAAGATAATGAGAAAATGCTCATACATTTGTAATCAGTTCAGAGTGAGGAGCAGAATGTGTGTGAAACAAAGAGCTCCTCTCTCTTTGTGTCAGAGCGGCTGGGTCAGTAAGCTGCAGCACACTGACACCTAGTGAGCTCTGCAGCACACTGACACCTAGTGAGCTCTGCAGCACACTGACACCTAGTGAGCTCTGCAGCACACTGACACCTAGTGAGCTCTGCAGCACACTGACACTCTGGCCCAATTCCAATCGACCCCCTACCCCTCCGTTTGTGCGTTCGCACGGAGGGTCCGCCACATTAAGTGCTGTTCCAAACCAACGAGTGTGGAGCGGTGTGGAGGGGGAGTGCAATAGAGTCTGGCTGCAGACCGCAGCAAGGAGGCGGATCGTATAGGGGCGGATCCTAAAGGGTTATAAAACGCCCCCACGAATTTCTTAAAGGTATAGGACGCTCTCTGTCTCTCATTTATTTTAATGCTTTGAATGAATCATAAACGAACTTTGAAAAATAATAATTATAATTAATTTGCATAAAGAATGAAGAGTATACAACCCACAGAGAAGACACATTCATAAATTGTAGGCATATCATTTTTCACTGTTTGTGCAGTGGTAGTAATTATTATTCAAATCAATCAACTACGTTTTATGGAAGATATTGCTGTATATCATTTAACAACATGAGTAGAGGTTTCTGTACACCTAAAATACTGAAGTTTAAGTTACTGTCCTGATGTGTATCATTCATTTGTTCATGTTGTGTCTGGTGGTAAGATTAATTAAAAAAATTAAAATATATACAGTACATACAAAGAGGAAAGTCTTTATTAAACAAACATTTTATTCATGGAAGGTGCCTCCAGCATCATAGAAACAGTCAATGCTGCAGAATCCTGCCAGCTCATCTTTTCTGATGATGCCATAACTAATGTTACATAATTATAGAAGACACATCCGAAGTGTTATTTTTACATATTGATTAGCAGCCGACATTTACTGAAAGGATGCGTCCGTCTCTCGTCTGGTTCATTACAACTAGTAGTTACAAACTGTTACAGTTACAACCTTAATCAGTACCGCACATCTTATTACTCAATTCAACCAACCAAGCTAGCCATGTTGTCTATCCGGATCCATACCATATTATTTGATTAAGTTACAGTATGTAGGGCAGGCCTACTTATATTTCCAAGATAATACAACAGTACACAACAGTACACTAGCATCATGCTAAGTGCTGGTTAGCATCACAGCATATACGTTAACCTTAGGTCAATTAGATGATCATCTTTGGTAACACAAATCAGTATTGTTACCGAGCCTGATAATCTATTGACCTATCTAAGCTTAACGTTATTACAACAGTAGAATAGGCCTGGTTGCAAACGGGACTATAGGCCAACGTGTTTATAGCATCATGCTAAGTTAGCATTTAATACCACAAACATTTTTACCACACACAACTATTATTTACTTTATTAACGCTTAACGAGGTTGGACAGTCGATGTTGTACTTTGATAACGAGACAATTGTGTGTTAAGAAAAATGACATTACAATAAATATAAACATGCATCTCTGGAAAATACTATTACCGCTGTTTCAACTTGTTGTTCGGCCATCGTGAAAGAACGAATGACTTCTTCTGCGAGGATTTATAAAAGCAGCTGGAATCCCTTAAATTGCATTACTGCCACCTACAGTATGTATTTCTGCTGAGTGTCATTATTCTATTTGTTAGGAAACGCCCCTATACGATCCGCCCCCTTGCTACGGTCTGCAGCCAGACCCATCTCGGGGAGTGGGCTATCAAGCCCTCAACCAGCGAGTCTGCATCGGTGCTGACTTGAGACCAGTCTCTACCTGACCGGACTTTTTTCTTTTCAGCCCCGTTTTGTTCACACCGCCTAGAGCCCGACTGGTACAGCCACGGCTGCGTTATGACGTCACCGTTTACGTCGCTGATTTTCTCCCCAACGGCGCTCACAACAACAACAACAATGGGGGACTGCGTCGGGTCGATGATCGTGTTGCTTTTAATCACACAAAGCCAGATTAAATTAAATAACTACTTCTCCAACCTTATACTCCACTATACTACACTCCACAGCGCCGTGGTTAATTGTTTATTAATGTGTTTCAGCGGCATTTACCGACCGCTGCAGTGCTTCTTGTCCACCGGAGTTTATTCTCCCGTTAACTCACGGGAGCAGACGCTGTAAAGTCTTCACTGTCTGACTGTCACACAAGCAGCTGATAAATATCCCCAATTCCCAGTGGCGACTCCAGGGTATGGCTGGGGTAGGCTACAGCCATACCAAGAAATGGCTTAGCCCCACCATAAGCACAAAAGTCCGCCAACTTGCGCCGAGTAAATTTCACAGACAGCAGCAAGATTGATTTCAGTAGCCACTTGTCTGGAAATACCGAAGACTAGAAACGGTTTTGAAAACTTTTGTCACGTAGTGATCGTCTTCTCAATAAAATATCTTTGCTAATGTCTTCTGGCCAATCAGAATCACGATAACGGCGTGGTGATGGAGAATAATTTTGCAGTAGAACTTCTATTTATAGATCCATGGATACAACATTACGTGTTGATAGAAATCAACACGTAATGAAATAAGACCCCACGGTTTGATGATTGATAGGTGTGTGGGCTGTCTTTCATTTTGACACACTATTCACCCTTATCCACAATGTAAAGTAATTCACACAGCCTCTTCCCTCTTCTCTCTGATGAGCAGCAGGTTCAGCTTTCAGAACAAAGTAACAAAAATCAGAAATGGCATTCATTAAAAAAAATGTGTTTTTTATTTTTTTTTACTACAAGACAAATGTGCCTTTTTATTTCATACATTTCAATTTGGATTGAGACAGGGAAATAATCGAAACCTCACACGTGGCGTTTCACTGTCAAGGGGGGCGATATAGCGTGTATGTAATTGCATTGCAAATACTACTATAGATTACCCAACAAAAATACTCTGGAGCCGCCACTGCTAATTCCCCATAAGTGAATGTGTGTCAGTCTGAATTGACGCTGTTTGGCATCACAACGCTGTTGTGAAAGTTTCTCTGGTATAAAATGGGTGATGTTAGCATAGCAACCGAAGCTATACTATCTTGACTACTTGTTGCTATCCTATTGTGGCATAAGCCCAGGGCCGCCCCTGGCCAACTTGGGGCATTGCGAGATGAGCCCCCCCCCCAACCGACAAAGTAGGCTACTTTGCAAATATAATTCCTGGTTATTATTATTATCAACACAGTTACTTTTGTATACAGTGAGGTAAATGGTAAATGTGCATGTATGTCGTTCAGTATGCGTTTACAGGTACGTCTGCATTTCCTGCCAAATACTAGCCTCAAAAAGATTCAAATATAATTAATGCAAATAAACTACTTCTACTAATAATGATAATCATAATCAATTCAATAATATAAATACTACATTATTTTATTATAATATAGTTGTAATATAGTCAAGACGAAACATGCTTATGACATGCTCAAAAACTGATATTTCTTAAATCTGTATTCAAATGTAGTTCCCTCTGTCAGCAATGTATCAACAACTGCGCACACAGTTCTATCAGTATTTCTCTGTGTTGTGGTTGACATGATGATGACTGTTAGGAGTTAAGGGGAGAGGCTGAGCATCACCATGAAATGTGCAAATTGACATAAAAATGAATAAAAGGGGAAAAAATGCTCCATGTATTTTAGGCTGTAAACTTTAACTGTTATGTAAGCCAACTAGACAGACAGTGTATCACTCTTCCTCCTGTACATTAGCAGATAAAAGGCATCACATACTTGAATGAATGGTAAATAAAGAATGCTGGAAATAACTGCATCTCCATTAGCCAACCTGATCTCACCAGAATGCGTGACTCCACCACGACTCCTTAACACCGTATTGCGTGGTGGAGTCACGCATTCTGCTACATTTGCGTGTCGGCACCATGCAAAAAACCCCAATGTAAAGTGAATGAGGCTCTTTTGTCGTGGTGCACACACGCATTTCTACAACGTCCCACAGTGAGCTTTTATTATATATAACGTTTTTTAAAATCTACTTTATAGCTTGTAGTAACTCACGGGAGGCTTCTTTTATTTTATTTGTATTCATAATCATTTTTATTTTTCGTCAGAATGTAAAAATTACATTAGTTACGAATTTTTGTTCTAAAAAAACAGTGCATTGTGTGTAATACAACTGTGATTTTTATTAAATTAGTTAGTTTTTAAGGAAGGCCAGAGCTTCAGCTGTGTCAAATAGATTGTTCCCTTTAGTTAACGTTATTTAAAAGATAATGATCATGTCCCCTTTATTGTATTACGAGCGTCCATTCCCATTGGATAACGGAGAATTGTACACCCGGAAGTAAGTATTCTCCTTACTGTCGATTGATTTTACAGTGATATCTGCACTACTCATCAACTCAAAAACACCAAATTATCCTTGTTAATTACACAACATTGATTGGTTTAAATTGTGTACAATGCTTTTGTATTTTTCCCCTTCGATTCGGAGAAACGAATATTTTTTCGGAGTTTTTGGATGGCAGAAGACACTACACTACCCAGAATCCTCAGCTATCGTTTGGGACTACACCATGTGCTTAGCTTGACAAACCCCGTGATCAGTCCTCAAGCTCTGTGATTGGATGTTGGAGTGGCAGTGCGCGGAGCGTCAAAAAGCACCTTGAAATGGAATGAAACCCATCGACGGCACACTATTCAAAACAAGAATTGAACGTGTCCTATCCCCCCCCCCCCCCCCCCTTAGGTCGCAGGCTTCTCCAACAGTGCAACACAATAAAACAGATACACAGAAAAAATAGTGCAATAAGAGTCTATATACAGATTGGAATCTTTTTTATTTTTTATTTAACTTTTATTTAACCAGATAAAAGCATTGAGATACAATCTCATTTTCAATGCTGACCTGGCCAAGAAGTTAGCAACGTTACACATAACACACACATATAAAAGAGAACATAACTAAGAAAACAAAAGACAAAAAAGCAGTCACTACATTGTGAATATGATATATTAGATAAATAATTTCTAAGTAGCAGCCAGATGAATGTTATGGATGTTGTTTCTAAGTTCAGGTGTTTCATAGTCTTCTGGCCTGTGGTATGAAGCTGTCCCTGAGTCTGGTGGTTTTAGTCCGGATGCTGCGGTACCGCCTGCCAGACGGCAGCAGACAGAACAGTTTGTGGCTGGGCTGATGGGGGTCTTTTATAATCCTGAGGGCTTTCTTTAAGGTTAACGTGGTGTTTTTACTCCACTACATTTATTTTAGTTACTTTACAGATTTGGATTAATGATGTGAAATATAAACAACCCTTAAATCAGACTTTAGTTACACCTGAGTAAAATTCAGTGAAGGTGATTGTCAAGTGCCAACAATCAGGAGAGATATTTGATAGTTGGTGCTTGAGAAGACTAAACATTTATCTGCAGATCCGTATAAAGCATATTCATTACTCGTTATTCTCTAATCGTTCATTAAAGACTATATATAATTGATATTTTGCACATCCCTTTCAAGATTTCAAGATTTTCTAAGGTTTATTGACATATCATATACACAACTACGGTGTAGTTATGCAATGAATGCAAAACTTGGGTCACAGGTTCCTCAACAGTGCATTACAAGACATCTATCAATATGTGTGTACCTCCACCATTAAACTGTCATATTCTGCACATGTATTATTCTATCTAACATCTTATAAGAGTATAATAAAGATGTATAATATCGGTTAAAATAAGTGCTTCAACATAGTTAACATTGCAGGAAAGTTGATTGTCAAGTTCCAAAACAAACCATACAATATATTAGACGTTAAGTACTTTGTCAGGCTTAATATGTATCTGTAGATAGATACCCCCAAAGCTTTTTTCTTATTTAAAAGAAGACCTTAGCCTAAAGTATTCTTTAATGTTTAAATAAAGCCTTATTAGTTTGTCTGTTTTGCACATCCTCCTATCAGGCACTAAACTGTTTTATTGTAGATATTATTTACAGTATCTTCTTGATATTTTCTATTCTATATTTATATCATTGACCTTCTACTTTCCCACTATTTTGTATGTATTCTTAATATTTAAATGTTTTCATCAAACACATTCAAAAGTACTTTACAAAAATGAAAGACATTAAGAAAAAGGCATTTTAAACAGTCATTAAAAAGCAACATAATCTACCTGCATTGCAATTACTCTAAACGTGTAATAACGTGCTTTAACCAGTAGGTGGTTTGGGTTAAAAAGCTGTCAAGTTTACAGTGTTAACAAAATAAAATATACTGCTGTTTTTGGTTTAGTTGACAACGGATATATTTTGTTATTGTTTTGATATTTGTAACAAAAGCGATGGAAAAAAACCCACAGTAACACAGAAAAGATGGTCTTAACATGACCCAGCGGTCTAGTAGTTAATACAAAACAATAATATCAAAACAAATTATTACTACTAACTTTATTGTGAAATTAAAACAGAACGGTAAAAGAATAGTTTCCGATCTATTTTGAGGCCCGATCTCTGTAGATAAATAAAGAACTACGATAGATGTGTAATATTTAATGCAGCCAAACCATTTATTACAATGCATTCATGTGATGACTTCCAAAGAGTAAAGCAAGCACTGCTGAATAAAGTATGATTTGATCTTTTACGAAACGTTTTTAT